CTTGTGTGTGAAAGACAGATTGGAAGGAAATATGATCAGATACAGAACACATGCAGGCTCCTGGGAAGTGAAAGAAGACAATGTGGACATTTCTGGTACAGGTTTTCCTCATTTGTGGATATAAAATGAAGGGCTTAGTGATGCCTGGGAGGAAGGCAAGGACTGTCTGGCCATGCCTGGTTTCCTTGTTTTAGGAGATAAAATGAAGGACTTAATAAAGTCTGGGAGGGAGAGGGTGGTCTCAAGGAGTAAAGGGTTCACCTGCACCCGTGAACAAAGTCTCAACACCCACCACCAAGATAAACAGAGCAATACTGGACTATAGCACAGGCCTCAGAACTTTCAGGCAGTGCCAGGCCAAGCTGAGCGATAGCAAAGGCACCAAGGACCAGTACACTGAAAAGGTATGGGAGAACCCCATGAACTGATGTACTGATGTACTCACTGTCTCACCCAGACCCCAAAACAAAGGGCCAATCAACCATGAGTTGGAGCCTGTGAAACCATGATCCCAAATAAACTTTGCCTCTTTATAAATTTGTAGCATTTTTTTGTCACAACAGCAGAAATTTGACTGACCCTATCTTGAATACCATAAACCCAGTGTTAAAAATTCCAAAAGTTTAAAATCTCCCAAGTTTATGATGCCCCAAACATCAGAACTCTGGGGACTGGAGAGATAGTTCAGTGGTTAAGAACACTGGCTGCTTTTTCAGGTTTGAATCCCAGCACCCACATGACAGCTAACAACCATCTGTAATTCCAGTTCCAGGGTATCCAATGCCATTTTCTGTTCTCCACGGGTACTGCACAACACAGGTGTACTTACATGTAGGCATAACACTCAAAAAATAAAAGTAAATTAAAAAAAATATATAATTCTAGAAATACTAATTTAAAATTGCTTAATGACATTTGTTTACATTTTAAATTGAGCTTACTTGAGAGACATATAAATGTAGCAGAACACATTACAGACTAATTCTCTATCAAATTAGGCATAAAGAATATGCAGACCTTCACAAGAAAAACCATCCAGTCACACTAATTGCAGTTTTACAGGTATAACAGTTGTGATAACAGATTTAAAATAAGTTAAAATAAAATTTAAACTAAGAAAATACATAAAAATTCTGGGATGGAGAGATGCCCGGCCATAACAAGTGCTGCTCTTCCAGAGGATCTGAGTTCAGTTCCCAGGACCATGTCAAGTGGCTCACAATTGCCTGTAACTCCAGCTGCAGAGGGATCCGATTCCTCTGGTACCCATACACATGTGCACATACCCCTACACAAATACAGGCACTTAGACATAGTTAAAGATAAAAAAGAAGGGCTGTCAGGATGGCTCAGCAGGTAAAGATGCTTGCTGAGGGGCCTGAGCTGGATCCCAATCTACATATGGAAAGAGAGAACCGAACCTACCCCCAACACTTTTCCTCTGACCCCCACAGGCACACTGTAGCACATCCATGGCCTCCCAAACTCAGTCAAGCAATTAATCAGCAACATTAAGAGTGCTCAGAGGGCTAAAGGCACTTGCCTACAACTTGATGATCTGAGTTTGATCCCTAGGACCCACATGGTCCTACAAGCTGGCCTCTGACCTTCAACCCAGGCTGTTTTCACACACACACACATAAAAATAAAAATAAATGTAATTTTAAAACTAAATAGGTTAAAAAGAAAAAATACAAACACACGTATATCATATTATTTATTTTTTTCAAGTCACTGTGACAAAATACCTGACTTAAGCAAGGAGCACTTTACTTTGACTCATAATTTTGAGGGTGCATCCAACATGGCAGGGAAGGACAGGACAGTAGCCTGGTGAACATGTGTCAGGCAGTGTCTCCTCACATCTTGACCAATCAGGAAATGGAGCACTCTGGTCAGAAGAAAAAGTGGACATTATCTTCAAGACCTGCCCCCAGAGACCCACTTGTGCTAGCTAGGCCACTGTCCCAAAATTTCACAATTGTCCCAAATAGCACCACAAGCTGGGGACCAGGTGTTCAAGCCCCTAAGTCTACGGAGATTTTAGATTTAAATCACAATCATGTTGTTTGTAATTACATGCATTCAGCTTTATGAATGCAGCCATATGTAATAATTTTATGGACCACCTAAACCGTCTTAAAAACAAAAACTAAATAGTAAACTGAAGTGGGGGGTACCGCTGGTGTTAAATCCTGAATCCAAAGGCCACAAACATGGAATTCCAATGCTTAAGGCAGCAGCTGAAAATTCTCGTCACAGTTCTGAGAGAGCCCAGCCTGTCGTGTTTTTCTTCCCTCTAGATGGAGGCAGATCTTCCCTACTTAAGACAACTCAAAGGCAGGCCTCGTGGCTATGGAAACTGCTCCGATCCAGGCAAACAAGGCTCTGCCAGGCTTCTAGGTTTGTCTTGTCATGAAAGCAAATGGAAAAGCCACTAGTCCCTTCCCAGAATTCAGCTTTCTATTCTTCGCGGAAGACCCTTTCCCCCAGCAGGAATTATGGTTCTCTGGACGTCCTGTGCTGAGACAATCATTTGATTTGCCTATCCCTACACTTATCACTCATGTGTGGATTTCGGGGTTTATTTTTCCCACCCACATTCCTTCTTCGATCGGATTTGCAGGAAGTGGCCGGAGGAGGAGAATCTCACCGACAGTCTACACTACCTGATCTGGCAAAGACAATGCTTTTCTTCCCAACTCAGGATCTGAGAACAGGTGTTCAATCAAAGCGTGGGACGCACGTCACGCATGCGCACACCGAGGCACGCAGCTCGGCGCGAGTGCGCAGGCGCCGAACCAAGAGACCCGGATTGGCGGGCGCAGCACGAACGTAGTCTGCTCGGTGCTGGACTATGGCTCACAGGCCTCCGAGAACCTTTCGGCGGCGCCGGGCCGAGTCGAGCGACAGCGACGGAGCGGAAGAGCGGTGTGTTGAGGCCCGGGCACCCGCCGAGTGGGCGGAGGAGCGCTTGCCCTCCGCTGGAGGCGGCTTGGAGGAGGCGGAGCGGCCGAGACGGTCCCAGGGCCCTCGGGGACGGGGTCGGGTCTGGGCGAGTTCCCGGCGCGGACCAGGAGCTGCTTCCCGTGGGCACCGCGGCGCGGGCGGCCGAGGTAACGCGGGACTGCGGGGCGGGGAGATCTCAGGGTTTGCACCGACAGGCTCGCGGTGCCGAGGACGCAGGGAGCCCGCTGCCCGTCAGGGGGCGCTCGCCCGCTTCGCTTCGGTGCACTGGGCAGCTGGTCCCTGACCTCGCCCAGTGGAGCTAGCTGTGGATGATGGATGTTCTGAAGAGCCTCAGTCGGAGGGGTTCAGGGATTCCTGATGCTGCTAAAGACCGGCGAAAGGTGTGCCTTTTGCAACTTGCCTAATCAGTTGAACAGCAAGTATATGACTGAGATTGATGACACTGGACCGTAGCTTCAAAGATCGAATACATTTGGAAACGTCGTTTAGTTCTTGAATATAGATTTCAAGCAGCATAGTTATTTATATAAGATGTGAAGTTTGACGCTCATGCAATACTGTTTTGCATTAGTCTTGAAATCCGAACTTCCTACTTTTAATTAAATTAAATTTAAAGTCAAAGAATGCTAGTGATTTCTTATATATACTTATTTGTTTAAACAGAGCTAATTCTTAATCACCTCACTTGTTTTTTGTGGGGACACTTAAAATCTTCCATCAGTTTTCAGGTAGTCCAAACAACACGTTAACTGTAGTCACCATGTTGTACAATAGGTCTCTCAAACTTATTTTTGTAAAATTTTGTATGACTTGACCAACCTAAACCACACCAGTCCCCACTAACTACCATTCTATCCTATTTCTGTGATTCCCACCAAAACGTTTATATTCTACAAGTGAGAAATTACCAGATTTGTCTCTCTTTCTAGGCTTATTAAGCACTTAAAATGTCTTCCATGTTCACGATCTTAGTGGTTTCTTACAGTGTCCTCCGTTTATTTTAAGGTTTGATGATCTTTCATATTCATAACTTAAAATATGTCAGTCATCTGGTTAACCTTGAGTAGAGAGAATTGAGGCCCAGAGTTGTCTTTTCTCTTGCCTTCTAGAGTAGTGGTTCTCAAACTGTGGTCTTCAAACTCACTTTCTAACTCTTTATTAAAAAATATTTTCCATCTATTATTTTTGTAAATTTATTTTTATTTTATGTGGATGAGTGTATTGCCTGCACATGTATAAATGCACCTGTGCCGTGCACTGCAGGAGGAGGTCAGAAGAGGGCATTGGATCCCCAAGAAGTGGAGTTACAGATGGTTGTTAGCCACCACGGATGTGCTGGGAATTGAACCCGGGTCCTCTGCAGGAGCAGTCAGTACTGTTGACCACTGAGCCATCTCTCCAGTCGCCTTATTATTTTTCTTTTATGTATATGAGTGTATTGCCTGCATGTAGGTAGGTTCACCAATGCCAGGCGGTGTCCACAGAGGTCAGAAGAGGGCATTGGATCCACTAGAACTGGAGTTACAGATGGTTGTTAGCTGCCATGTGGCTGTTGCAAACCAAACCCTGGTCCTCACAGGGTCAACCAGTGCTTTTAACTGCTGAGCCACCTCTTTGACCCCCTCTTTATAATTCATAAAAATATATCTTATGAAGAGCTTTTGTTTCCATGGATTATTTCTGTCAGTACTTACCATTTTAGAAATTAAAAAGAAATGTTTACTAGTTCATTTTGAAAATTACCACCTGCATATAAGGATAAGTAACATTTTTGTGAGAGACCAGTGTTTTCCAAAAAGTAAGAAAATGCTGATTGTTGTTTATTTGCACGTCCCTTCGATGTCTGGCTAAAAAGAAGGTGCCTGAATTCTGTGACTACCCTGCCTTCAGTTTGCTGTACCGTATTGTTTTCCTAAAGTACTTGAAGAAAATGCAACCTCTAAGCTGTGTGACCAAGAGCATCGCATCAGCTGTTAGGAAGTATGCTGCTTTACTAGTACAGCAAAGCTCCAGAAGTAGTAATCTCTGTTTTACAACTGTAATGCTTTGGTTTATTAAAGGAGAAAAAATGAACTCGACAGTAGCTTACTGGAGACATGAGTTAGCAGAAAGCAGCCTTGTCAGGGTTCAGATGTTCGTGTTTCTTCTTACATGAACATTTCTCTAAGGCAGACATTGCTTAAACCTCTTAAGTGGCTATTCCCAATTCTTATATCAATCACTTCAATGAGTAATAATTTCTTAAAGACAATTTAAATACTAAAATCACAGACTATGTTAGTAACTTTTAGTTGCATTTGTTTGTTTTTGTTTCTGTTTTGTTTCTTTGAGACAGGATCTCACCATATAGGCCTAGCTTGCCAGGTACTGGCTCTGTACACCAGGCTGGCCTGGGACTCACAGACATCCTCCTGCCTCTGCATCTGGAGGAGTGGTGGGATTAAAAGTGTGTGCCACCATGCCCAGCTTGAGCCTTTCTTGAAATGATAGACGCAGCTCAGCTCACTGTTGAGAATGTGTGTCAGATGTCAACATCTAAATAGCTAGGTTTTCTCCACCGTTCATTCTTTTAAGTCAAGTGTTGGTCTTTGAAAGAAGGCCTGCAAGATGGCTTAGCAAACCAAAGCACTTTTCAAGCTGGCCTGGCGAGCTGGGTTCCATCCCACATGAAAGTGCAAAGAGAACAATGAAGTCTTTTGATCTCCACACAGGCATTGTGCTAATCATATGTCTCTTCCTTCTATGTGCTTGTGCATATACACACACACACTCAAGACGGTAATAATTTTTAAAAAGGTACTGGCTAGTTAACCCCAGTCATACAAGTAAGTGTAAGGCAGCTGTCAGGGCTCACCATGCAGCAGCAGTCCCTCGTGCATACTGCCATTTTGTTGCCACCATTAAGAAGATGTGTTCTCAGATCAAGACCTAATAAAATCAATAATTTTTTTTTGCTTCATCAACAAGTGTAAATGAAAGTGGTTGTTTTCCTATCCTGGTGTGTGATGATGATGAATATATTGACCATCTACAAGCTGGTCTAGCACTTTTACACCCCACACTTTTGCATCATCTAGTAGTGTTAACTCAGTGAAAAGAATAAATGATGCATATTATGATTAAAGTAGGTTTCATGTCACAGATTTTCCGACAGCATCTTGGGGGCCTCCAAGGATTGCTGGACCATGGTTTCAGAATCACTGTTTTGGCTAATTCACTGGGAATACTCAGGGGTCGTCATCAGTAGCTACTGAAAAGAGCGAGCTGCAGCTTTACTGATTTTATTTTTTGTTATGTTTGGATATGCTTCAGTCTTCTGAACCTCATGTAAGTCTTGAATTAAGTGGAACTTTTGGTTATTGGTTCCAGTATTTTGACTATTTCTTTCTTTATTACAAAGGTGTCCTATTTGAATCCAGAACAGTTGATCTTTCAACAGATGAAGAGGAAGGAACACATCCCTCCTCGGAACATGGGGATGATCAGAGTCCGATCTCTGACAGCTCTAGCTCTGTGGAAGAAAAAGAAGTTGGTAAGTTTTGTAATTTTACTTAAGACCCTCCCTCTCTTCTTTTATCTTCCCTTTTGGAGACAAGGTCTCACCGTGTAACCCAGGCTGGCCTAAAACTCCTATCTGCCTCCCAAGTATATGATGTACCACCATGCCCAGCCCTAATACCAGTGTTTTCTGTGGCAGTAATTCTTACTGTTGATACAACCCAAAAAAGTCATATATTTGTTATTGTTTTGAGATAAGATTTCCCTTTGTAGCCCAGGTTGGCCTTGAACTAGGGTGGTCCTTCTGCTTTTGCTCTCTAGTGTTGGAGTTAAGATTTGTGTGCCCTGTCTGAAATCCTAGCACCTTGCAAGATTGTAAATTTGAAGCTAATCTGGGCTAGACAGTGAAACCGATGTCTCAAAAGGACTCATAATAGAGTGCTATTCTTCCTTAGTAACCCATTAATAATACTATTTAAGTTGGGCACACCTTTAGTCCTAGCACTCAGGAGGCAGGGGCACGTGGAGCTCTGTGAGTTCCAAGCCAGCCTGATCTACAGAGTGACTTACAGAGTTGGGGCTACAGGGAGACCCTGTCTGAACAATCCCCCCTTCCCCCACCCAAAAAGAAGAAATGCTGATGTACTATTTAGAGAAGAAAGGTGGGATATGGTGGACATGCCCATCATCTTAGCACAGAGCTTATGTGTGGGAAATGTATTTATTTTGTGTTCAGATGACAGGCTGTGAGAATGAACCAGTGATAAGAGTACCTGCTTTGAGAGGTTCCCTGTGGCAGAGGCTACTTGTTACCAAAGGGAGATGATAGTTAACTTCTGCATCTTAGATGGTTGTGTGTCTGGTAGGATGATGTGTGTAGACATCACCTGAGTTAGCAATACAACATGATTTTATTAGCTCATCCCACATCTGCCCAGCATCTGCTCTGTGGACATCATGGTGGTATGGAAGAATAGGGTGGGAAGAATGCTTTCTTCATTGGTCGATCAAATCATGCATTTGTTTTCCTATTCATACACTTGAATATGACTGTGGTCTTAACCCTTCATCCCCTTGGAGGCTTTAAAACAAACTAATGCTTAGCTCCAGCATCTCGGTTTACTAATCCTCCTGTTTTTACTGTGTAGGCAGAGACTTGCTAATGTCAGCTGCTGAGAGAGTTTTGAACCTTTAATTTGCTGTAGATAATAATAGCTGTATTTCTCAGCTTCAAAGACACGCTGGCTTATCTTTATACACATCACAGTAGAATCATTATACCAGACTAGGAAAAGATCAGAGTTCTGACAGGTCTCTATGTCCAGTTATTCATGTAGTTAGGAATTCGATGAACTTGTTGCTATTTGATTTGATTTGTCCTACTTTTTTTATTTTCTGAGGCAGGGTCTTGCTGTGTAGTCCTATCTGATCTGGCCTCAGACTTGCTGTGTAGACCATCCTACCCTCAAATTCACAGAGCTCCACGGGGAACCTCTACCTTCGAGTGCTGGGATTTAAGGCATGCACCACCACACCCCTCCTGGCTGTGAACTCTTGGCAGTTCTGCCTCATCCTCCCTGATGCTGAGATTGTAGGCATGTACCACCTTCCCACGTATTTTAGCCATCACAGTAGCTGTTAAATCCTTGAAGAGAATATAGGTATGGGCATACCTGACTTAATGATTCGCCTGATAATCAACTGTAAACTTATACTAGTTTTTCTGGGCTTGGTGGCATATGCTTATAATTCCACCACTGAGAAGGGTCACAAGTTTCATTCCACCAGATAGGAAATGTTCAGAGCTCTGACATGTCCCCATTTGCCTTCATAATCAACATTTTTCTGTTTTGATATTCATTTAATTCAGGAAATCATTTTATTTACACACTTTTCTTTGTTTGTTTGTTTGTTTGTTTGTTTGTTTGTTTTAGAGACATGGGCTGGCTATGCAGCCCTGGTCAGCCTGATACTCATTATGATGCTCAGGCTGACTTTGAACTCTTAAGCCGTCTTCCTGCTTCAGCCTCCCTAATCCTTGGATTACAGGTGTATGCCTACTGCCCCAAATATTTCAGTGTGATCACATTATCCTTTAAGAGGATGTAGGAACATCTGACCTTTATCATTCCCCAGATAATAATCTGTAAATGAATACTGGTTCAACTGGGTGTAGTGGTACCTGGCTCTAATTGTAGCACTTTGAATGTGGAACCAGGAGGAGCCTGAGCTACATGAAACAGTGTCTCAAAAAGAAATAAATAATTGGGCTGACAAGATTGTTCATTGGATAGATGGCTTGCTACCAAGCCTGATGAGCTGAGTTCAGTTACTGTCACTGACATAATAGGAGAGAACTGACTTCCATAACTTGCCCTGAACTCTACATGTGTACCATGATGCCCCTCCACATAAAATAAACAAATGTAATAAAAACTCTTCATAAAAAAGATATAATAAGAAAATAGATAAATACACTCTTATAAAAGAAGTCATTTTACAACATGATTGACTTTTTTTTAACTGCTGAGCCATTTCTGTAGCCTTTCTCCTTTTTTAAAAAAAATATTTATTTAGTATATGTGTTTAAGTGACTGTATTCTTCTCATAAAAAATTGGGATTAGGGGCTGGAGAGATGGCTCAGCAGTTGAGAATACTGGTTGTTGTTCTTGCAGAAGACCCAGGTTTGAATCTCAGCACTCACATGGCAGCTAACAACTGTCTGTAACTCCAGTCCCAGGGGATCCAACAACGTCTTCTGACCTCCGCAGGCATTGCTCAACACAGGTGCACTTACCTACCTGCAGGCAATACACGTATACACATAAAATAAAAATAATAAATTAAAAAAAAATTGGGATCAGGGCTGAGGATGTAACTTAGTTGATGGAGTGCTTGCTTAGCAGGGATGAAGCCCTAGGTTCAATCTCTGACATCAAATAGACTAGTCATAGCATGCCTAACTAGCATGCCTTTAATCTTAGCACAGGAGATGAAGATAGGAGGATCAGAAATTCAGAGTCATCCGTGGCTACAACACTAGTTCAGGGGCTGCCTAGGCTACATGAGACAGTCTCTGAAAACAAAACAGCATTAATTTGTGGGAAAAATTAGAAAATTTTACTTGCACCTCAGAGACTTGACATTTCTAATGTTTTCTAATGCTTGAAATGGTAAGAATTTCCCTTGCTATCATGTTGACAGTATTTTCTTAAGGAAACATTTCTTTGTAGAATCTAAAGATAAATTTTATGCATGAAGAAACCTCAGATAAAGACAGTAAAATGCAGTTGTATTAAAAGTTGTAATTAGGTTCATTTACTTGGTGGCAAAAATATGTATTTCCTTTATATTTTACCTTCTCTCATTTTTTTCTCATGGGACTCTACCAACCTTTACAGTCTGGTTGGCTTTGTTCCCCTGTCCTCTGTTTCTTACTGGCTCTGTCTCTGGTGCCCACAAGGGGAGGAGGTGTCATGATGTAATCTCCGACCTGGTAAGTCAGATTCTGTCACTAATCCTAACTTTTTCCTGTCTTAGCCTCACTGACTGCTTAGCCCCTCATTCCTGCCCTGACACTCTGAGCTTTAGAAATGAGCAAAAAATAAGAGAGTTAAAGGCAAAATGGAATTGTGTCAGTGTATTTTCTGATGGTACTAGATTGGGTTCATTTCTCTAAGATGTATTCCGTGTTTACTAAGTTAATATTTTCTTCATTTGCTTGACTAGACTTTGAGCCATTTATTGTAGTCACACGCATATATCAAAATAGTGAAAAATTTAGGAGCATTGTACCTTTTTCTTGGCTTGAATGTGAGGAATATGCATTGTGTAGATGTTGGTTTCATTACCCTCCTCTTCATTTGTTTCAGTTAAGATCCCCGATGCATCTTTTATTCGGGCAGCCCGCAGAAAACGTGAGTTGGCCAGGGCCCAAAGGGACTATATTCCGTTGACTGTAAACCATAGCTCCACCACCTCTGACAGGAAGAGAAGCGGTGAGGAGGACCCAGAGAGTGAACCTGATGATCACGAAAAGAGAATACTATTTACCCCGAAGCCTCAGACACTCAGACAAAGAATGGCTGAAGAAACAAGTAGGTATTTGATTTATTTACCGGTATATGAAGATCAAGACATTTTCATTAGAATAATGAAATTTTTATTTGCCTGTGACATATTTTCTGTTTATTTATTAAAAATTGAGATCAGGGCTTGGAATATAGGTCGGTTCATAGAGTGCTTTCCCCGCAGGAACAAAACCCTTGGTTTTTGCCCCTGTGTCACATGCACTAGTTGTGATCTCCCATGCCTGTAATCCCAGCACTTGAGAGGTAAAGGAAGATGCTATGGTAAAATTTCTGTAAGAGGGGCCAGCAGGATGGCTCAGATGCCAAACAATTCTGGCTACCAAGATTCAATTCATGGACCCTGTATAAAGATGGAAGGAAAGAACCAACTCCTGAAAGTTGTCCTCTACACACATGTACCCATACTCACAGACACATCATACACATACACAATGATAAAAAAATAACTTTAAAAATCCATAAGAATATGCTGTAGAAAGCATGATGGCTTGCACCTCATTTGGGAAGTTCAAGTGGGAAGATCACAAGTTTGAGGTCAGCCTGGGCTACATAGTGAGAACTTGTCTTAAAAAAATAAGCCCTCTCCCCCCAAAAGTGATATTGTACCTTACATTATAAAGAGTGTTGATGATGATTTTCATGATCAATTTGATCTGTAATGTCTTGGCATCTAAATGATTTGATTCTATCAACATGTCATCCAGGGGTGTATGTTATGATGTCTACTAATGAAACCTCCATACTTGATTTTTGACATTTAAAAAATAGTGCAGTGTCTTTATGTTACAATGTTGGAAATTACCCATTGCTACCTTTTAAAATATTTTTTTGGTAACATGAAAGTCTTTGCCAAAATTTTAGGTGTCATATGCTAATATCTTGCCTATTCTAATAAAAAATGCCCTCTTATCAGTAATGAAGTCACAAAGCACCATTCACGGTTCTTATTCATAACATATATGCCTTACCAAGCTTTTATTCAAATAGTATTTCTTCAGAATAAGACTGATAGCTTGTACTCAGAAATTATTATTTATGTTTTTGAGATAGGATCTGTCGTACCTCAGGATGGCCTCAAACTCACTCTGTAGCTGAAAAAGACCTTGAACTTCTGATCGCTCTGCCCACACCTGCCAAGTGCCAGGATTATAGGTGTGTGCAGCCCCGTGTTATAAGGTGCTGGGGATCAAATTCAGGGTTTCATGCATTCTAGGCAAACACCACCAACTGAGCTACATCCCAAGCCCCCAGACTTTATTTTTAAATGTTCCAATTCTCAGGTATGAATTAGACATCTTTTTTAAAAAATTAACATTATCAAAGAATTGCATTCTATTTATTTTGTATATGTGTGAATACATATATGTATGAGTGAATTTGCAGGTATGTGCATGGTACAGTACAGGCGTGGCGGGCAGAGGACAACTTTAGATTCCTGGGATTGAGCTTGGGTCATCAGGCCTGACATCAGGCACCTTCATCCACTGGGCCGTCTTGCCAGCCCTATTTGTTTGTTGTGGGTTTTTTTTGTTGTTGTTGTTGCTTGTTTGTTTTTGTGCTTGTGTATATAGGTTAGAGGACAACTTGTGAGTCAGTTCTCCTGTCTTGTGGGTTCAAGGGGATTATACTCAGGTTGTGAGACTTGGCAGCAAGCACCTTTACCTACTGAGGCATCTCACTGACCCAAACTGAACATCTTTAATAAGGAAAGCCAAACCTTTCATTCTTTTGCACATGAGACTGTGGGACAGTTTGGTGATGAGGTGTGCAGGCTCTGGAGTCAGACTACTGCATTTGAGTTCTCTTTAGGACATAGTCCTGAAACCAGTTCTTCAGCTGTCTAGTATTTGTGTCCTTATTTTTAAAATGAAGGTAATAATGTTTCCCTCTCCTTAGATACTGTGAAGAATAAGCAGCATGCAAAGTGCTGCTAAACCTGCATAAAATAACCCCCAAATTCTTACTGCTGCAGTCAGAATGGCAAAATACAGACTGTTTATGTGCGGACATTAATTTTTTTATAGCAAATGAAAATGAAGAAACAAGTGAAGAGAGTCAGGAAGATGAAAGTCAAGACATTTGGGAGCAGCAGCAAATGAGGAAAGCAGTTAAGGTTGTGGAGGTAACTCTTTCTGTACTGTATCTCTTAGCATCCTGTGACTATTGCAACACATTACCACAGACATGTTTCTTCTTTTTAATGTATTATTTGTGTGTGCACACGTGCATGCATGTGCTGCCATGCACGTGTGGAGGTCAGCGGACAATTTTGTAGAGTTGGTTCATTAGTCCATATACATGGGTTCTGGGGATTAAACTCAGATCTCTAGGCTTGTGTGGCAAGTACCTTATCTGCTGAGCTATGTTGTCAGCTCTGTATCTGGTCATTCTCTCACAGTGTGGAGGCCATAAGTCTGAAGCCAGCATTTTGTCAGGCCTGTGCTTGCTCGGAATTGTTCCTTTCCTTTACCAGCATTTGGGTGCTGCAGATATTCATGGAGTTGTGACTGCAGAACTCCAATCCCTGCCTCTGTCTCCACATGCCTTCTCTGCATCTCTGCTCTGTTTCTTAGTACACTTGACTTTGCATTTTGGATTCATTCAGATAATCTAGGATGATCTCAAGATCCTTCCTTAGATACAACCATACAAAGACCCTTTACCAAATTGTACACCTCAAATTCATTTGCTTTCTGGGTGTATCTTTGGGAAGGCCACCATTCAGCCCACTACATGGTTTGTAGATCATTTTTTCTATTCTATTATAAATTCCTTCCAATCTAGGGAGGACCATGTCTTGCTTTACCTTTATTTTTTATGGTCACAGATACTTCATGTTGTTATTATGTTTTAAAAAGTTCAACAAATGGTGAAATTTAAAATCTCCCCCGAAGGGGGAGGGGTTTAGGGTATAGAGCACTTGCCTAGCAGTGCAAAGGTCCAATTCTATTCCCAGAACTAAAATTTTTTTAAGTATTGATTAAAAGTTTAGGATTTGGATTCTGGGTCTGCTGCTAGAATCTAAGTTCCACAAGGTCAAGAATTGCTAGCTCTTGGGGCTGGAGAGATGGCTCAGTATTAAGAGCACTGGCTGCTCTTGAAGAGGACCTGGGTTTGGTTCCCAGCACCCATGTGGTGGCTAACAGCTGTCTGTAACTCCAGTTCCAGGGGATCTTCTGAACTCTGTGGGCATTGTACAATAGGTATACTTACATACATGCAGGCCAAACGCTCATACACATAAAATAAAAATAAAAAATAATTACAATATTTTAAAAAAGAATTGCTAGCTCTTGTTCATTTTGTGGATCTAACAGTGCTCACCGGTTATGAGATGTTAATAGTGTTTATGCAACTTTGAGAAAAATCTTTGTTCCTTTAAATCTCAATTTTTTTCATCAGTAAATTGGAATGGTAATATGAAATATTTGAATAGATGACTCTAAGGCTCAAAATTGTAAGAATATAAATAGAAAATGCTCATAGCAGTATACTTTTCAAATATAATATCTTACATTTGAATCTTTAAATAAGAATGTTTTGAGAAGAGTTGGAGAATAGGACATGGGTTTGATTCCTAGCCCCTCACATGGTAACTCCAGCTCCAGAGGATCCAACACCCTCTTCTGGTCTCTGAGAGTATCTGCATGCTTATGGTGCACATAGATACTATACAGGCATATACACATACACAGATTTTTTTTTCCTTAGAGTTTTTCAATCTCCAGGCTTCATATTGTATGTGTGTGTGATTTTTTTAATTGATTTTTTTCAAATTTCATAGAATATCTTTTGATCATTTTAGGCCCCCTCCCTTAGCTACACTTCTCTTATAGCCCCCCTGCTGGATTTTATGTGTGCTGTCATAATGTGTTAAGGCCTATTTGAGCCAAGTTTCTGTCCCAAATGTCCTTGTTGTGAGCCTGGTTGACCTATTTAGTGTCACTCTCTTAAAATCAGCTGTCCTTTCTCAGTAGTCATCAGTTGCCAGTAGTTTCTCACCTAAGGTCGGGTCCTCTTACCTGTTCCCTTCCCCCCTCTTCTGTACTGGGTTTTTGTCTAGTTTGAACTTGGCACAGGTCTTGTGTATCTTGTCACCATTGCTGTAAGTTCACATGAGTAGCTTCTCATCTATCTGGAAAACTCTGTTTCCTTGTGGTCTTCCACCACCCCTGGTTCTTATAATCTTTCACATGAATTTTGATTAAAAAGAATGCTTTGAGAGATCATTTATTCCTTTAAATAAGAAAATATAAGATCTCTGTCATTAATACCCCAAAGCATAGGTAAACCTCTGATTATAATTTTGGAGTTTCTAATGGGAGAACTTATTTAGCAGACTATTTTTGTCCAACATGCCCATACCCAGAAGCGCACGCACACACATACACACACACACACACACACACACACACACACACAATTACAAATAAAAACATCCAAAAAAATTTAAATGTAAAATTTGTTTTCAGTTTACTTTTAAGTAACCACAGTTGCTTACTATGAGAAGTGTGTATCTGTCTAGGGCTGTGTGACTTCTCCAACTTAGATCTCAGGTTGGACACGGCAGTCTCCTTTCTCTATTGATCTTCATGTAATACCTTTTCTTGTCTGCCTAAAACCCAACTCTACTACTCTGACTTCATCAAAAGTAATGTAGCACATTCTCATGTTGCAACAGTGAATGAATTAGTGCTTGGAAATTCAGAATTCCTAAGAAATGAAAATGTTGTTACTACACGCCTCTGAATTTAAAGTGATACCTTCATGTGCTTTGAGAAGCACAAACTGTCTATAGTTTTGAACTCAGGTTTCCTTGTTACATTTCTTCCCCCGTTTCTGCCTAGTTAAAACAACTAATTGTAATAGCTGTAAAATATTTACTAGCATTACCTAATCATAATTGTCTTAACCATTCTTCCTTTTGATGAGACTTTTTAAGAAAACATTGTTTACAGTAGGAGCTTTTTTCCTGTTTACAAATAAGAATCTAAATATTTGGTTTTTTCCTTTCTTTTGTTCACATGTACAGTTTTGAGCTATTTCCTTAGCATTGTCAAGAATTGACTCGTTCCTTAGAATTAGTATCACTGTTCAAAGAAGAGAAACCTTTTTTATGGTACTTAGTACTTGTACTTTATTTTTTTCTGAAGGAAACTTCCCTCAGTTTATAATGTCAACACTATTACAGAAATGTTTCACAACAATCTTGCCAGCCAGCTGGCAGGTTTAGTGGATAGACTTACTGATTTGTGTTTTTATTACATCGCAAGTGTGCGTGTTGATGTCCCTGTTGGAGAGCTACATGCTTGTTTCTTGTTGTGGTTATGATGAGTCTCTGCTGATTTGACAGTTTACCTGACAGAAGTTCATCCTCTCACAGTTCTGGAGATCAGAAGTCCAGAATCTGGGGTGATCTGTACTAGTTCCAAAAACTAGAGAATCCATTCCTTTACCCTTGTAGGTTCTGTTGGCATTTTTTTTTAATTTTAATTTTCTTTTTGCTTATGATCACATTTCTCTTTCTCCATCTTTACTTCACCTCCTTCTCTCTCTTTTGTTTTAACCTTTTTTCATTATTTTATTTTATTTTATTATTTTATTTATTTTATTTTAGTTTAGTTTATATGAATGAGTGTATTGCCTGCATGTGTGTAAGTGCACTCCACCCCCATCCCCCATGTCCTGCAGTGCCTATGCCTATGGAGGGGAACTGGAGTTATAGACAGTTGTTAGTCGCCATGTGGGTGTTATGGATCAAATCAAGAGTCCTCTGCAAGAGCAGCCAGGTCTCTCAATCACTGAGCCATCTCTCTAGCTCCTGTTTTTGTTTTTTTGAGACAGGGTCTCATTATGTAGCCCTGACTGGCCTGGAACTTACCACATAGTCTAGACTGGCCTTGGACACAGAGATCTGGTCACCTCTGTCTCCCAAGTGCTGGAATTAAAGGCGTGCACCACCATGCTCAGCTCATCTTCTATTTTATGAGGATCCATAATAACTGTGTAGGTCCTTTAAGTATAATCAGATAAGCCCCCACTCAAAAATCCTTCTCATTTGTATCTTTTGTTATATAATAGTCACATAAATGGTAGCATTTTTGTGGGGTCTGCATTAGACCACAGTAGCCAGTTATAGTGATATGCAGTCTGCAGGAGAGACAACTGAAGAAAATCATTACAGTGAGCTCTTATAGGTTATTGCCAGAAGTCTCTCAGGGTCCCAAGGTGACATGAACAAGTTGGGTGATCAGTTTTATGAGAGCAGGCAAATGGTGAGATGTGGAACAGTTCCAGAGGGAGTGGTCTTCCAGTGGCTCATTGCAAGATATGCATGACGTAAGGGATCTGAACCTGAAAGTGTCAAGAGTGTCTAGGGATAACAGTGGCCTTAGTTACTTGTATTTCTTCAAGAACTCAGTGAGTTTCTAAGACTTTATTAGCCCATCAACAAATTAGTTTTAAAAATTCAGGAACTAAGCTTTGCTGGAAAATTAGAACTCTAAACTTTGTCTCATGCATATGAATTTAATAGTCCAGGGACTGGAGCTATAGCTCAGTAGAGCACTTGCCTAGCACGTGTGAGGTGTTAGGTCAGTCCTCAGTACTGCCGAAGGGGGCAAAGGAATTTAATATTCTAAAATTGATATAGGATTTTTGAAAACATTTTATTGAGAACATGATTTACAAAGGCATGGGATTTATAAAATTTCTAAAATTATTAATTAGTTCTTTTATTTTATGTGTATGAGCATATTGCCTGAATGTTTAAGTGCACCCATGTCATACAATGCCTGTGGAGATGAGAAGAGAGCATCAGGTTCCCCTGGAACTGTGCTTAAGGATGGTTGTTAGCTGCCATGTGGGTTCTAGAAATCAAACCTGAATCTTCTGCAAGAACAGCCAGTCCTCTTAACCTCCAAGCCATCTCTCCAGCCCCAACTCATGGGATTTTTGAGCTGACAAAGACCTCAGAGTATGAAAAATGAAGTGCTTTTTTAAAGGTAAATTTTCATATTTTTAGGGAAGAAACATAAACCTTTTCCACAGCAGTGAATCTCAAGCAGTGAAAAAGTTTGATACTTCCATTTCATTTCCACCAGTAAATTTGGAAATTATAAAGAAGCAATTAAGTGATAGGTGAGTAATGTTTACTTTAAAATTTACATTTTTCTTCAGATTTATAGCAAAAAAAAAAATCATGTGTTACCATTTTATTTCTTTGTCTTGTCAGTTTTTATAACAGATGTACTGTACATAGTTAAAATCAGTAATTATAAAGTTCTTTTTTTACTTAATATGGCTATGGGCATTTTTCTACACTGCTAGTTTGTTGTTGTTTGGTCATTGACGACATGGTATTGATATATAGCCTAAGCTCATCTTGAACTCAAATCTCAAATCCTCTTAAGTTTCTAGGGTTATAGGCATGTACCTCCATGGTATGCCATCATGCCAAGCCTCTATATTGTCGAATAACCTTTAATTTACAAAAAAAAAAAGTATATGTCATGTTTGTTCCTATATTTAATTTGCTATAGCTATTTCTGTGTTTGACATTTTGATTCTTAAGTGTTCTCTATTATATATCTATTGTTGCAATAATATGACATGTTTTTTTTTTAATGTATGTATTTGGAATTTTTTTAATTGATTTTTTTTTCTTGTATTTTCCCAAACAATTTTACTCATCTTTGTATCTGCATCCCAAATGGTACTCTCCCATAGACTCCCTCCCCCCTCCCCCCTCCCCACTGGAGCCCATATACTCTGTCATCCTTGTTGGTGTCCACTGTGTTGTTGGCACCCCCAACTGTTACCCAGTGCAAGTCCATCTGCTGAATCTAGTCGGTCTATCTAGAGTCCCTTGTTTTAGGAAGATCAGCTGTTCTTCATCTAGCAGCAATCAGTTGCCAACATTCCTTTAGACAAGATGGGGTCAGCTGTTCATTTTCCCAATTCTCTTCTCTGCTGACTCCCAGAGTGGTTTTGGTTTTTTTAAGCTGGTCTTGCTGGTAGCTCAGGCTGGCCTCAGACTCACTATGTAGCCAAGGCTGGCTTTAAACTCTATGATCCTCCTTAATATCCTCCTTAACATTACAGATTTGTGCTGCTGTACCTAGCGTTTTTGTGTATGCATATTTTTTGTCTTTTATTAAAAGACATTAACAGGAAGAATTGCCATGGCAGAGATCTTATTTTTATGGATCTTGGTACAGAGTGACTTTCTCTTTTTTTTTGAAATATTTTAATTTTTATTATTTTTATTTTTTTTATGTGTATGAGTGTATTGTCTGCATATATGTAAGTGCACCTGTGCCATGCAGTGCCCGTGGAAGAGGTCAGAAGAGGGCATTGGAGCCCCTCAAACTGAAGTTACAAATGGTTGTTAGTCGTCATGTGGGTGTTGGGAATCAAATCAGTGCTCTTAACCACTGAGCCATTTCTCCAACCCCAAAATAATTTTGTTGTTGTTTTTGGTTTTGGTTTTTTTGAGATATAGTGTCCGTGTAGTCCCCACTGACCTGGAATTCCCTATGCAGACCAGGCTGGCTTCAGTCTCACAGAAATCTGCTGCCTCTGCCTCCTGAGTGTTGGACTTAAAGGTGTGTAGCACCATGCCCTCCTCAGAGTGCCTTTCTAAAGCACAGCTATTTCTTACTCTATCAGTAACTGGAGTTATAGATGATTGTTAGCTGCTATATGGTTGCTGGGAACTGACCCTGGATCCTCTGTAAGAGTAGTCAGTGCTCTTAACCACTGATGCGTCTCTCCAGCCTGCTCTTCATCTATTTTTAAATCCTATTGTTCTTGGATGAGTTGGGGTTGTGTTTGTATATGCCTGGGGAGACCAGAGGATGACCTCTATGTCCTTACTCAGGTGCCATTCACCTTTTTTAAACAATTTTTCGTCTGTTTTTATTTTATGTGTATGAATATTCTGCCTCTGTGTGCGCGTGTATGTGCAGTGTCCATGGAGGCATCATCTGGAACTGGAGTTATGGACAGTTGTTAGCTGCCATGTGGGTGCTGCAAACTGAACCTTGGTCCTCTGCAAGAGCAGCCAGTGATCTTAACTGCTGAGCCATCTCTCTAAACCCTACTTTGTTTTGTGAGATAGGGGCTCTCACTGGCTTGGAAGTCTCCAAATAGGTTAAATTGTTTGGCCAGAGAGATGGAGGGATCCTCCTGGCCCTCCTCCCCATCACTGGGATCCCACCATACTAGTGTTTTAACTTGGGTGCCAGAGAGCTAAGTCATGTCCTCATGCTTGCAATGCTAGTACTTCACTGACTGAGCTCTCTCTCTAGCCCAACTCTTACTGTCCACATACTTTGAATTTATTTCATTTTGTTAAATTATTGAGTTGCTAATTCTAAGGCATTAACACAACACAAATATTGATAGGAAATATATTCCATATGCTACAAAAGAAATGTTTCATGTCTATGATAGATAATTGACTTTTAAAGGATAAACAGTCATTGAATGGATGCATGTGATAGTCACAAAGACTGGACAGAGTGGGCTGTCTTCGCTTCAGTTGAGTAACAGAAATGCAACAGAGGAAATGGAATGGACCCCAAGGAATAGCAAATTTAAATTACAGAACAGTTAATTATAAAACAGAGAGTTGATAAATTGTACCAAACTGTAGCATATTTAAACAGTATTATTGCCAGCTCATTTATGTATCTGTGTTCTAAGGACGACTACAGATCGATCTAGCAGTAAACACATGGACTCCTTTGTTTCAAGTATAAGACTATTGACTAGTCTTGGAATTCAGTATCTAAATTCTGATCCATCTTGGCCTAAAACCAAGCCATTGTACTCTAAAACTAGACTATAAGTAGGGTATAGTAGTGCTGCCGTAATGCCAGCACTTCAGAGGTTTAGAGCTTCAGTGTTATCTTTAGATACACAATAAGTTCAAAGCTAGCTTGAGGTGAAGACACCCTGTTTGAATGAATGAATGAATCAATGAGTCTAATAAATCCAGGTTTATGTGGCAATCACTTTCCTTGATTGTCTTTGGAAACAAGTGCATTAGTTTTCTGCTTTTAAAGGAAAAGTTTGAGGGGTTGGAAAGATGGCTTAGAGCTTAAGAGCACTAACTGCTCTTGCAGAGGACCCAGGTTCAGTTCCCGGCACCCACATGGCATTTTACAACTGTCCCTAACTCCAGTTCCAGGGGATCCGGCACCTTCTTTTGACCTCCACGGGCTTTACACGACACAAATGCACTTACGCATATGCAGGCAATACACTCATAACCATAAAATAAAGATAAATAAATTTTTTTTAAAAAAGGAAAACTTTGAAAAATAAAACATCTTTTTATTTTATTCATTTAGATTAACATTGCTGCAGACAACTCATCGCTCACACCAGAGAGAATATGAAAAATATATACAAGATATCAAGAGCTCAAAGACTGCAATCCAGAACCTTGAGAGTTCATCAGATCAAGCTCTTCATTACAAATTCTATAAAAGCATGAAAATTTATGTGGAAAATGTAATTGATTGCCTGAATGAAAAGGTACATATAATTTGCATGCAAGACAGAAACCCCTTAGTAGTCAATTACAAAAGAAAAATCAGGCCAGAATATGGCTCAGTGGGTCAAGTGCTGCTGTATATGCATGAGGACCTGAGTTCTGATTCCCAGAATCCGTGGAAAAGCCAGGCATGGTGGTGTGGGTCTGTAACCCCAGCTTTGAGGGATAGAGATAGTGGATCCTAAGGTCTTGCTGGCAGGCCAGTTTGAAATAATGACCTCCAGGTTCAGTGAGAGAGCTTGTCTCAAAAAAATAGAGGAGAGAGCTATAGAGGAAGGCATTTGGACCTCAACCCCTGGCCCTGCATAGGCCTCCAAGGGCAAGTATGTCTGAACACACCAACACACACACACATTCTTTCCCTCCCTCCCTCCCCGTGTCTGACTCTCACAATTAGATACTTTTCTATAACTTTTTTCTACATTTTATTTTTATGAAAAGTCTTACTATATAGCCCAGAATGGCCTTGAACTCAGAGTCTTCCTGTCTCAGCCTCCTGAATGCTATGATTTGCCACCACACACATTTTTAACATGGCGTTAAGCACCTCTTAATATTAGAAGTGGGTTTTTTTCCAGTTACGTTGCTGTTATAAGTAATAAAATTTAATATGTAAAATTTTGGGTTAAAATTTCATCTAAGGCTGATTAGAAAATAAAACCCAATAAAATTAATTACTAAGTATAAATATTTTTCAGGTTTATTCAATGTATTGTGAAATTATTCTTCAGAACGACTGGCAATTTATTACTTTGCTAGATTAGAAAAAAATGATTTTTTGAGTGAGAAAGAGACTGAGACTTCCAATGTAGCCCTGACTGGCCTGGAACTCACTATATAGACCTAACTGGTCTTGAACTCACAAAGAACTGCCTGCCTCTGCTGGGATTAAAGAAAGTCATGGGCCACCATGTGTAGCAGAAAAAAAAGGATTTGCTTTTAAATGCATTCTGATCTCAAACAAGCCCTTAGTTTCTTAGCTAAATGTAGGTCTTGTTTATTTTTGATTTGTGAAGTAAGGTCTCCCTCTGTAGCCCAGGCTGAGTGGAAACTTGCTATGCAACCAAAGTTGGCCTCAAACTCTGATTCTCTTTCTGCCTCAGCCTCTGGAGTGCTGGGATTGTAGATCTGTGCCACCACGCCCAGATGACATGGATTGTCCTCTTACGAGTTCTTTGAGTCCTTTGCCCTATTCCTATCTGGTTCTTAGTGGGGATTTTTTTTTCCCTCTTAGTTTTTAGTGAATGTAAATAATTCTTTATGGTTTAAATTTTGTAATGCTTTATTCAGTTTGATCTAAAATTTCCAGTTTCGTTTGTGAAGGTTCTTTGATCTCTATATGCTCTGAAATTTTTAGCAGATTTATGAGTCTTTTATACATTGTGTTTTATGAAAGCTAAATCCTGATATTAAGATATTTAGTTGCCTTTTAAAAAGATAATTTACTCCTCAGAACTTAAAAAGATAACTAAAAATAATTATACTTTCCACATAGAGTATATCAATAAAATGTTGCTTTGTCTCTTATTTTAAGAAGGTAACCTTCCACTTATTGCTTAATAAAGTATTTTTTACAATATAATTTTTTCTTCATTCACCTTGAATTATACTGTTAAAACTTTACCAACTCACACAGTGGCCTGAAATGGCTATGTCTATGGCAGCAATTGTAGAACGTATTGGAGTGGGAGGAATCCTGTCTAAGAAATAGGAACATCAGTTTCACCTAGTCTCTATTCCTATATCACAGCTCTATCTGGTAAGGTCTCATCCATTTTATGATATTTTTTCTAGTGCTAAGGCTCAAACCCAGGGCTTTACATACACTTGTCAAGCACTCTTACCCCTATGCTACATTCTAGCCCTGAATGATCAGTTTTCGAGATTTTTACCATATTTTATAACTCCTTCCGCCCCACCCTCCATCTGCCTTCTTACTTTCCCCTCCTGTCTTGAGAAAGACTCCTTCCTTTTACCTCTCTCTCATGTCTGTGCTCCTAACTCCTTTCCATTTGGTTTCATAATCTGTGATATCTGCTAATATTGGAACTCTTTTTTTCAAGAATTTGAGCATATACATATGGTTACAAATAATACCTGTTGTGCTTTTTTATAATTATTGATAACCTGCAAAATGTTACATATGTGTATTTCAGATTACCAGCATCGAGGAAATAGAATCATCAATGCATGCACTGCGTATAAAACAAGCTGCAACACTTTTGAAACGCAGGCAAGATGAGTTAAAATGTGAATCAGCATATTTACAACAGTTATCATGTTAGTTTTTTTATATTGCATACTGTTTATTAGTTATTAAGCTAAATTGCCATCTGAGAGAATAAAAATATTTTTATTCCTGTAGAAAAAAATGCTTTTTTTCCTCTATTTTTTACATTGACCCTTCATCCAAACTCAACATTTCAAGGCAGAATTTTAACGTATCTTAAATTTAACATTAAAAAATAAATTTTAGAATTTCAAATCACCTAGCATTTGACAGAGTATGTATGTGGACATTTAATGAATGGAATGAGTGCCTATAAATCTGTAGACTTGTTTGGAAGCCCAGGTTTGTAGTGTAAGGGCCCTCCCAGGGACTAGCAGGCTTCAGCAGAGAGTCATCTGTAAGGTCTCATTTTGTAAGATATGGAGTTCTCAGTGACATCTTTCCTTGATTAAAGTGATTTTGGGAAATGAGATCCTAAATCAATGATGGAGAGGTAAAGTAACTTTCAAGGTCACTACATTTGGTCAGTTGTAAACTATGGTATATAATGAAGTGGACCACAATATAAATAAGGTATTAGCAGCATAATTATTTCTGGTGTTTGACTATGGGGGGAGACTGGCAAAAATTGCTAATAAAAAAGTGAGAGAAAAGAAACCTGCCAGTAGAATTTGTTACTGTTCTCAAGTGACAACCTGCACACACCAGCAAGGTTTATGTTTTTAGCTTAGCGAGGTTGATGACTATTAATCCTATGATAAGTAATTAACATTTAAATCCCATTGCATAAGGAAATATACTGTTTAGAGCACATATATGTTTTTTACACACATACACTTCGTGATATTACCTGTATTTTCAGTGATTCACTGTTTTGAGGATCTGCAGTACAAAGCTAATTTTGTGTGTTAACAGACAAAACTGAGACATCAGCAAAGGGAAGCTTGGCTGTAGATGAAAAAAATCAACGGATTTTAGAAGAGATTGAATCTCGAAGGTATCTATATAATGTGAAGACTTAAAGCAACATTGAGCAAGTACTTTACTTACCAGTATAATTAACTAAATGAGATAATCAACCCTACTCTGACATGCTAATTTGTGAGAACAATGTAAAACCAGAGCTGAGTTCAGCTGACCTCACTGCTTTATAGACAGACTTGGAGAGAATGGATAAGATGGTGTTTGTTAGGCTGGAAGTTGCTCTGAACTAGAAATTGCTCCTAATTATATTATTACCCTCTCTTCAAAAAGTGGTCAGTCCCTGGGAATGATCTAAATAGGAGCATCTTACAAGAAACCAAGGGAAAGCAACCACAGAAACCAAAAGTATTAACATGGAATTTTGTGCAATGTGGTGATGTGTTTGTCCCTTCATAAATAATAACAGGAGTTTTCTTTTTGTTTTAAAGTCTTTTCCGCAAACTCTATTTGCTTTTCATTGATTTTTGTCGCACAATGCAGGACACAGAGAAGACAGGCAAGGGCGCTTGCTGGCAACTGTGACCACCAGGAAGGGACATCAAGTGATGACGAACTGCCTTCCACAGAGATGACTGACTTCCAGAAATGCCAAGGTCAATTGCCAAGGTTCTAACCTGTATTGAAGTGTTGAGATAATGGGGATTGCTTTGTAGTAATTGCCTTTAGATACATATAACTTAAGAGAGTTGGGGAAATTCAAGAAAAATGGAAACATTTCCCCTTAACACTTTGCTACCTCTGGAAAAGGAACATTGTGAGTATTCTCTGGTCCTTTGTAGCCTTTCTTCTGTTACAAATGAGCATTTTGGTGTCTGTGTTACCATTTTCAATGTAAAAGAATTTAGCAAAATCCCTTTATTATAATGAACTCACAAATAAAAACAATACACAGCTAGATTAAAATAGCCACACAAACACTTTGTACATCTCACTAAACTTCTGTACTGTTAGAATGGCCGTTCTGAAGCCATGGTGCTTCACTTAGAGTTTACACTTTCAAGGGTTTACACTTTCACTATCAGTGTATTTTATGCATTCATCTATAGGAAGGAGGGAGGGAGGGACTCATGACAGAGTTCAATGTAGAAAAACAATTAGCTTTGATTCTCCTTTACAACTCACGTGACCTTTTGTCTGCATTCTGGCCTTCCTCATCACCTGATAATACCCTTTCTTGGTTTCCTTTATAAAGTCTAAATGTTATACTGTACCCACACTTACAACTATACACACACACACACACACACACACACACGTATACATTATAGGCTAGGATCACATATGAGATTTTTTTTTTCTGAGTTTGGGTGACTTAATATTCTAAGTCCATCCATTTTCCTTCAAATTTTGTGATTTCATTTTTCTTTAGAGATGAATGATTTTATATCTATTTTATATATGTAGCAGATTTTCATTATCCTTTCATCTGTTGGTAGGCATCTAGGTGGTTTCAATTTCCTTACTATAATAGAGCAGTGATAAACATGAATGTGCAAATATCACTATGGTAGGGTATGGTTCTTTGAGTATGTGCCCAGGAATGGAATAGCTGACTCATATCGTAGCTCTATTTTTAACTTTTTGAGGAGCCTCCATACTGATTTCCATAATGGCTATATTAATTTACACTCCTACCAACAGTGAATAAGAGTTCCTCTTTCCCTACATCCTCTCCAACATTTGTTGAGAGATTCCTTGATAATAGCCTCTTGACTGAGGTGGAGTAGTATTGAAAAGGAGTTTTAATTTGCATTTCCCTGATGTGTTGAATACTTTCCAGAATAGTTACTGACAATTTGTGTTTCTTTTGAAAGCTGTTCATTAGCTATCTGTTGATTAGCAGTTTTATTTTCTTGGTATTTAATAGTTTAGCTGGTAAAGATTTTCTCCCATTCTGTGATCTGTCGATAGGTGAAACTATTTTTTTTCCGGGGAGCGGGGGGTCTTTTTGAGACACGGTTTCCCAGTAGCCACATCTGGTCTGAAACTCAAAATGTAGACCAAGCTGACCTTGATCTCACAAAAATCCACCTGCCCCTGCCTCCCAAGTGAGTGCTGGGATCAAAGGCCTGTGCCATCACTCCTAGCATGGTAAAACCACTTTTGGTGTTCTGAAAGGTATTCTATAAAGTTAGAACGTTCTGGACTTTGTGGTTATAGATGAGATGGAAGAGACCTTTAGTCTGTATGACAACAGAGAAATTTCTTGTCCTCCCAAATCCAGTATTGTTTGTTGGTTACCTATAAATATGTTACACCTGCTTTATAGGGAAGATGGTTACATTGATAAAATGATGTATGATATTTTGGTGTATAAGCAGGGACTTAATGTATGGTAGGCTTAATCGTGCCAGTATTTTCACCTTTGTTACTAAACCAACTTTTTAAACAATAAAAATGAATATATATGTAAATACCAAGATAGTGTCAAACTCAGTTGATTAAATAGGAACACATGACTGTGCTTATAAGAAGGCAGATTTAACATGCATAGCATAAAGAGACTTATTTTATTTGCAGGTGACATTTTTCAAGATTGTAAGAAAATTTTTGAAGATGTGCATGATGATTTTTGTAACATCCAGAATATTTTATTAAAATTTCAGCAGTGGCGGGAAAAGTTTCCTGAGTCCTACCATGAAGCTTTCATTGGTTTCTGCTTACCAAAGCTTTTAAGTCCCCTGATACGAGTTCAGTTGCTTGACTGGAATCCTCTTAAGGTATTTATGCTCACCATGTGACTGTTCTGGTTGTATTAGTTACTTAGACTGCCTTGCTATCGTGCTAGCTATAAAATATCTGACACTTGGCTGATGGGATAAAGGGCTTAGTGGGTAAAGGCATTGTCACCAAGGCTAATGACGACTTGAGTTTGGACCCTGCAGCCCATACAATAGAAGGAGAGAACTGACTGCTGAAAATTATCCTTAGGCCTATACCACACACACACACACACACACACACACACACACGAATGAATGAATGAATGAATGAATGAATGAAAGAAATAGAGATTTTTTTTTTTAAATCAAATTTTTCTTTTTTGCATTGTGGGGATTAAACCCGGGGTCTAGCTAAACAAGTACCCTACTACTGAGCTACATCTCTAATCTTTTGCCTTGATTTTTAAGTCATAGCGAGACTGAACATCAGAAATGCAAGCACATTCTTTTTATAGATTTTTAAAATTTTTATGTGTATGAGTGTTTTACTTGTATGTATGTAAGTATATACATGTGTGCCTAGTGCCTATGGAGGAAAGGACAGCAGTGGATGCCCTAGAACTGGAGTTAGTTAGCTGCCATGTAGGTATTGGGAACTTAACCTGGGTCCCCTGCAAGAGGAGCCAGTGCTCTTAATCACTGAAACAACTCTCCAATCCTGAAAGCACACTTTTAATACTTCTTCTGTATTGTTTAAAGTCTTCCCCAGAATTATAAAGTAGTATTAAGTTTGGGAAAGTTATATAAAAACCTGTTCCAAGGATTGTGGAATTGGAAATGACAAACTGGGAAGAGCTGGTCAGCGAAGCACATTGAGGAGAGGGGAATGTTAGCAAGGCCTTGAAGGGTGTGTGAGACTTCATCAGGAGTTGAGAGGAAGGGACAGCTACTTCAGAAAAATGAGGGAGAGATGCATCTCTAATCAAGAGATGACATGACATTCAAGTCCTGGATTGAGAGGTGAGAACTTATTTTGGAAAGTAATAGGAATTTTGACATATGGAAAGTAATGTGGCTTTTAAAAATGTTTTATATTACATTTATGTGTTTATGTGTATGGGAGTGGTGGTGACACATACCACAGCATTTGTCTAGAGGTTAAGGAGAGTGTGGGAGATGGTTCTCTCCATCAAGTCTTCTCTAGAGATCAAACTCAGGTCACTAGGCTTAGCAGGAAGTGCCTTTATCTGCTAAGCCATCTCACTGGACTGATAGTAATGTTTTAGGAAGCCCCTATTAGTAGGCTAACTTGGATGAAAGAGAAATAAAAGATAGATAACAGTTGATGTAATCCAAGTTCAGGGTGACAAATTCATCATATAGGCTGATTCTGGTAAAGGGAATGACTGATTTATAAGAGGTATCAGAGGCTGGAGAGTTGACTAAGTGGTTAAGAACATTAGCTAATCTTGCAGAGGACCGAGGTTCAATTCCCAGCACCCACATGGCAGCTAACAACCATCTGTAACATGACTCCAATTCCACGGGATCCAGCATCCTCTTCTGACCTCCTCATTGCATGACACAGGTGCACCTACCTATGTGCAGGCAATACACAATAATACAAAAATAATAAAATATTAGAAGACGTTATCATGAGGTAAAAATTAGTGAAACACAGAAAATAACTAATCCTTCACATGCAAATATTAGAGAATGGTCATTCTGTTAATGGGGAAGAAAAGGATTTGGAAGAAGTTTTACTTCTTGGGTAATGAGGTGATAAGGAGACACCCACATTATTTTGCCTTATGTACAGAAAGGAATGAAAAACTGAAGTTCTAGGAAGAAGCCAAACTGGGTAAGGATTTATAGTCAGTGATCAAGCTATGCTCTCAGTTTTCTTTGCTAACCATGCTTTCTTCCTTGGTCTTAATTATGAGTGCCTATGGGCTTCAGGCGCATGACCACATAGCCTTTCCAGTATAGGAGCAAAATAATTTCTAAGGCTGGTAAAGAGTTGGTTGGGCAGCAACCTGGGGATTAACCATTTAAGCTGAATTGGGAACTCTTGATAAGCAGAGATCATTTTATTCATCCATTCAAGTAATTAGCCATCTGTTATTTGTTGGTTGGCTAATAAGCTAAACCACATGCATGTTAACACATTTATTCTTAAGGTAATTGAAAAGACTGAAGTAAATTCTGCTTGAGGTAGATGAATTTTCATCAGCAAATTTTATGGATAGTTCAAGTACCTAACTGATACAGTATTTTACTTGACCAGAGTTCTTGCCATTCTTAGGCTCTGAAAGTCCTGGCACACAGTAGGCCTTTGTTGCATTTTTGTTGTATGGCTGAACACATGAAGCATAGTTTGAGCTACACTGCCTTAATCATGTCATCCTGCCGCACTTTGGTGGCTCAGTACTACATACATAGTGCTAAAATATACAGTTATGTTCCTTGATCCTTAGAAAAGTTCTGAGAATTAGAAAGAGATTAACTTTTAAAATACCTGTGCTTAAGAATATAAAACATAATCTCATCTTACAGTTGGATTCCATAGGTCTAGAACAGATGCCCTGGTTCACATCCATAACAGAATTTATGGATAGCAGCATGGAAGATACGACAAAGGATGATAATTCTGATAAAAAAATCTTGTCTACTGTAATCAACAAAACAGTTGTTCCTCGACTTACAGGTATTGCCTTGAAATCTTGCTCACATCACTCCTTGACAAGTATGAGATTATCAGTACTCTGAGCAACTGTAAGCTCAGAGTATTGATGCCTTTGCTTCAGTCTTTAAAGTCGGAAGATTTCTTTTACCTAAACCAGTATTTCATAAGAATCTTTTTACCATGTCCCAGAGAATACAATTTGAATTAGATTGAATTTTGAAGTTTTTATTTTTTCATTTATGTATTCTTTTGAAAAATCCAAATTCTTCTGATTGAACAGTCTCATAAATTGGGAGCATTATAAGAAACTAGCACTGCCCGAGCTCCTCTAGTGGTTCAGTTCTCTGTTTGAAAAATAGCACTACCAGCATTTGCCGAGGGACCCATTGTGGAGCAAGAAAAAAGAGATAATTAGGAGTGGCTCTATGATTTTTGGCTTAGACAACCCAAAGGACAGAGTTGCCTTTCCTGAAGTGGAACGAGAGGGTGGTGGGACAGAAGCTCAGGTGGGGCATGTTGAGTTGTCACTTAAGTACACATGTCAGGTGTGTTGTTGAGTATATGAGTCAAAGGAGTGGTTTGGCAGGTAGTATACATTTATCAGCGTGTTGGTGGCATTTTGTGCCATAAAGGGACTTTAAATACTAGGATGTGAATGCAAGTAGGAGGGAGAGGAATGATCTGAGTCCTAGGGTCCTTTTAGCATTTGAAAGTCACAGAAGTGACAAGCAAAGACCAGAGAGGAAACCAGGAGGGTGATGTCCCAGAGGTGAGTAAAGAAAGTATTTCCAGGAAGAACAATGAGGTATGGTTGCAGTTGTTGACAGTAAACCACTTGAGGATTAGAATCAGCCATTGGAGTTGGCTATGTGAATGTCCTGTGTGATTTGAGAAACCATGGTGAATGATAAGGCCTAATGGACAGGATTCCAAGAACAAATGGGCAGAGAAAATAGAAAGTGGACATAGACAATATTTTGAGGAATTTCCATTTTTAAAAGGACAAGAACAATGGACAGTAATATAAGTGGTAATAAGGGTGATTGCTAGGGCTGGGGAGATGGACTAGTGCTAACATCACTCACCCACAATTATGAGGACCAAAGCTCAGATCCCCAGAACTCACATAAAAGCTTGGAGAGGGAGGGGGCATGGCTATACAGCCTGCCTGTAATTTCAGTGCTCTGAAAGTAGAGACAGGCTCCCCGGAGCAAGATGGCTAACCAGACTAAACATTGCTAGCCAGACTAGCCATTGTCAACCTTGGACTTCTGCACACATGCACACACACCCATACACACTTGCACACAAATGTGCCCTTACATACATGAAGGAAGAGAGGAAGTGGAGAGATCTATCAACTGAAAGTGAGAATGAGAAGAGGGAGAAGATAGAATCATCTGACAAGGGAAAGTGAGCTGACCAGGAAAAGAAAATTTTAGAGAATTGGTTGCTGGCTAGCGTGAGGAATCACTTGGGTTTTGTGGGGATCATTTTGTTGTGATTTTATTTTAAAGCCACATTTTAGCAGCAGGTTAGTGACAAGGTGAATTTAACTAGGTTTGTAGACTAGCCTGACAGGTTCAGCAAAATCCAAGAAGACAAAGAAATTGAAGGTGTGTGCAGGTAGTGGTCATGATTGGTCATGGATTTTAACCTCAGTAAAGAGTGGACTAGGTTGTGTTACAAGTAGCAGAACAATCTTGTAACTACTGTACTACTGAAATGTCTTTCAGATTTTGTAGAATTTATTTGGGACCCCTTGTCAACCTCACAGACAACAAGCTTAACAACGCACTGCAGAGTGGTTCTGGAAGAACATTCTACTTCTGAAAATGAAGTTAGTAAAAGCAAACAGGTAACAATTTCTGGGGAGTAGGGTGTGTGACTCCATGGTAGAATACTTGCCTATCTTGCATGACACCCTGGGTTCAATCCCCAATACCACAAAAAATTAATATATAAAATAATTTGTATATGCTCAGATAGTATTGTATGGATTTGTTACCCCGAAAACTATCTTTCTTCTTAAACCAGAATTCAAAATGTTTAAAAGACAGGTAAAATAGAGTTGCGTTTTTGTTTTTAATGTTATAACTTTGATACAGGACTCAAAGTATGTGTTACAGATAAGTGGAAAGAGAAATAAAACTCATTTAGTTTAGTATGCTTTTTATGGAAAAATATATTTGCTTAACTGCATTTATCAACAATATGTTTGGTATAATGTATGTGACGGCTTAATTTGTGTTAACACAGCATCTTGCACTTTAAAAATAGATGTTATTCTATATAGTATGCTAATTTCATTTTTCAAGCATGGATTCTTTCTAAGAATGAGAATAGTATTCATAGAAATATTGCTAATACATGAAAAATTTTTAACCTTCCATCATCTCTTCCTCCTGGTGGTAGTGTATTTGAGACTGAAACCACCGTAGGATATTTTCACTCAGTCTTTCCAGTTATCTCAATGGATATGCATATATTCTCTTTCTTTGACTTAGCATATCATTGCATATTTATAGTGTTAGGTTACTATAGTCTCAGAAACATTAGCTAATATTTCCATTTAGTGGATGGGTATAATATGATGTCTTTAAGTTGAATTACTGAATTGAGTATTTTAGTTATTTATAATTGTTGATAATGCAAACAAAATGAGTTATCCAAAGTGAATTTACTGTGTCAAAGGAGATAGAAAATCCAACAAAGTACCCACCCCTAGGTCAAGTAGAAGGCTTGTAGAAATCAGTAAGAAAAAGGCAGATCCTGATTTTAAAAAACCAGACAATCAGCTTATGGAGGTGCTTTACCAAACCACAGAAGAGGATGTAAGAAGATGCCAGTGTCTCATGACTCTACAGGAAAAAGATGAAGAGATTCATACTACATTCCCCAGATTTGAAAATAATTTAAAAACAAAACAAGAAAAACAAAGTTTAGTAAAGGATTTAAGAAAACAGGTCTCAATATGTAGCCCTGACTGACCTAGAACTTTCTATGTTGATGAGGCTGACCTGGAACTTACAGAGATCCACCTACATCTGCCTCCACTGACTTGTGCTTCCGGAGTTCTGGGATTAAAGGTGTGCACCACCACACCTGTCAGAAAAGAGGATATCTTAAAAAAATATGTCTTTATTAATTATTTGAGAATTTCATGGATTGTATTTTGATCATGTGTACTCCCCAAGCTTCCCCTAACTCCTCCCCAGTCCATCTCCCTAACCCCACAAACTTCATGTAGTCCTGGATATGGAACCATCCACTGTCAACCTACCAAGAGCCACACCCTCAAAGGAAACTGATTGTTCTTTCCCCAGCACCCATCAGGTGTACATAGCTCCTCAGTTAGGGAGTTAGGGGTAGGGGCTGGTGAACACCTTCCTACTCCATGCTGAAAACAGGATTTCTTATACACAGCTAGTAGAAATATAAATGGGCTATCGCCATCTTTTTTTTCCTTTCTTATTGATTGGATTTGTTTTTTCATGATTTCATAAACGTATATAGTGCATCTTGTTTGCTCTTAGAGCCCCAATCCTCTCTTAACTCCTTCACACCTCTGTCATCTTCCACTCCACCCTACAGATCTCTTTCCCACGTTTACATCCTTTGGGTTTCTTTTCTGACCCACTTACTTTAATTAGGACTGTCTTTATGGCCATGGGTTTGGAACTGTCCACTGGAACATGGTGGGCTGACTGTTTAGTGCACAACTAAAGGCAATGATTGTCCCTCCCCCAGACTCCCATCAGTTGCCAGTAGTTCTGTAGGGAGGGTTAGGGACCCATGAGCCCCTCCCCAATCCAAGACAAACCCAGTCTTTTGCTGCGGGATTATGTTTGTAATGAATGGCTGTGTCAAGCCCTAAAGATGCATTTCACATTTCTTCTCCCTATCTTCTGCTCATAAAATTTTTCCACTCTCTTCTACCATGTGCCCTGAGCTTTATGTGGGTGGTATGAATGTCCTCTTAAGGGCTGAGCACTAGAACATCATTTATTTTAGGCATCCATGAGTCTCTGTGTTCATTGGTTTATAGAAATAAGCTTCTCTGATTAAGGATTAAGGATATCTCTGGGCATAAACATAGGTACTTTACTGCAGTTTGGTGCCATTTGGTACCATGTCATTTAGCGAAGCCACAGAAATGAGGTTCCCCTTAGGATCTATGATTGTTTTAGCCATGGGTTTTTGTCTGGGTTTGTAGTAGGAAACAGTTTCATCATTTTACACAAAATTGAATACAGGGTTATGAGCTATATTCCAGCTGTAATTCCGTTCTAATGTGTATTACCTATTAGAAATATATTCTTATACATACTAAAATACTTTTGTAAGGTCTTTTATAATACCATTCTGCATAGTGGACCCTAAACTGGAACTGAGTGTCTCGTGGGTAGTACATAAGCAACAGAATGCAGTACAACAGTAAAAATCTGACCTCAGTCATGTATAACTGATGAGTTTCTTAAAGCCAGTTGAAAATTACTATGGACCAGTTTCCACTGTTAAAATTATACTTTTGGTAAATATATTTCTGACTATGGCTTGTTAATACTTTTCAAAAATTTAAATAATAGGATTTACTTAAATCTGTTATTGGAAGAATGAAGAAGGCAATAGAAGATGATGTTTTTATTCCTCTATATCCAAAGCGGTAAGAGCTGCTATTTTTTATACTGTTTGAAATAGCATTTCTTTATAAGGGGAGAAGGATTTGAAACAGACGTGATGTAGTTCAGGTTGCCCTTTAACTCACTATATAGCTGAGGATAATCCTCACCCTTCTGTGCTCATGCCTTCCAAATGTTGAGATTTCAGGCATTCACCACGATGTCCAGCTTTGAAGTATCCTTTTCTATAATATAGATTTGCCTAAGAATACAATGCAGGGGTTGGAGAGATGACAATGGTTAAGTTCACTGGCTGCTCTTGCAGAGGACCCAGGTTCAGTCCCCAGCACCCACATGGTGGCTAATGACCATTCGTAACTCCAGTTCCAGGGGATCCAACACCTTCTTCTGGCCTCTGTGGGCATTGCAGCTCAGGTGCACTTAATTTCATGCAGGCAAAACACTCAAACACATAAAATAAGAAAATTTTTAAAAAGAATATAATACAAAAGAAACTATAGTAGTTTCCAAACATATACACATATTCTATTAAGATGCAAATTGAGACTTTAACAACACTTCTGTAATCTGCTGTATACCACATATCATTCTTGGTGTTTGGACATTGTTAGAATGTTTCAGGGTTTCTTGTTTTTCAGTGATTCCTAGGAACGTGAGGTGGTAGTATAGAGAAGCAAAGAACACAGATTCTTAGCCATCCCGTTTCTGGGTGTTTGACTTTAAGCCTTCACCTGCATCACTGTCATCTGTACATGAGGCCAAAATTTGTAGCTACCACAGAGGACATCAGCATGGTGAAGACAATGCCCCAACCATAGCGGTGCCATGTGCAGAGGAAGAGTAGCATAACCAGAAACAGTAGCTGTGAATGTGAATTCTGTGTTCATCTCATGAAACATAGAGGTCACCAAGAGGGTCTCCATTGCTAGTGATGATCTGCAAACGGTAGCTACCCAGTGAAACATATGGTGAAAGAGCTGTGTGGAAAGGAGTGACTCAGAGTTTTCTAATTCATTTTGAGTGAGGAAGGGGCATCTGCAAATAAGTATTATGTTCCTGTAAGTTGTTTTATACAATTTTAGATAAGAAAAGTGTAAGTGTGGTTTATACTTAAAATGATTGCTCCTTGGCATTGAGTTGAAGTGTATGTTTAAAATGAGGAACTTTTTTTTAGATTTTTTTTTTGGTCTTTTTCAGACAGGGTCACCCTGTAGTCCTAGCTGTCCTGGAACTCACTATATAGACCAGGCTGGTCTTGAACTCACCTGCCTCTGCCTCTCGAGTGCTGGGATTAAAGGCGTGAGCCACCACGCCTGGCTAATAAAGATTTATTTATGTGTATGTTTGCCTGAATTTATGTAAGTACATCATATGTGTGCCTGGTTCCTACAGAGGCCAAAAGAGGATGTTGGACCCTTTGGAATAGGAGTTACAAACAGTCATGAACCCCTATGTGGGTGCTGGGAACCAAACCCAGGTTCTCTGCAAGAGTAACCCAGGGCTCTTGACTGCTGAGCCATCTCTGCAGTCCCTAATATGAAAAGTTTTATTCACTCCTACCTTGACCTCTGTCTGCAAAGGTTTTGCCGTTGCTCTTTCCAGGTTGTCTTCTTACAAATAGAAGCAAAGATTTTATATCCTATAATCTTATTTTTCCCTCCTTCCTCAGCAAAGAAGTACATTATAAACTGTTGTGAGCAGTTTTGGATGCTTTTCACTTAGTACATATTTGAGGTCATTCCTTGTCATCATAGAAGTTGTTTGCTTCATTCCTTTTTAAGTTGCATAATAGGCTGTCATGTAGATGTCCTGTAACTGGCATGTGAATTGCCAATAATGAGGTTGTAAACAATCCAGAAGATGTATCATTCTGTGTAAATGCAGACATCTCTATAAGAGGCACTTTTAGAAATGTGTTGTTGGGTGAGTATGGATACATTTCTGATTCTTAATAGATATCATCACAGCGCCCCCGTTTATTTTCCATTTATGGTATTTGGTTGCTTAATTTAAAAATCAGTAAACTCCTGGGTTCTTTTGGTTGTTTTTATTGGATTTTTGTGATTTTTATCTAATACAGTTAGATAAATACAGTTAGATAATACAGTTAGATCCCCTCCCCTGTCTGTATCTCCCCCAACAGCCCTCCACCCAATTTGTGTACTCCTTTATATATATTAATACAGCCTATAGAATTTGATTTGTATCCCTAAATGTCCTTCAGTGTGAGCCCACCAAGAGTCCTTTCCCTGTAAGATACTGTCTCTCCCCTCCTAGCAACCATCAATTTACAAAAGTTTCATAGGTTGGGTTGGGATTTCTTACCCAACCAGAAATTTATCTGGTTTGAGCTTGCATAGGACTTGCGCACACTGTCACTATTGCTGTGAGTTGACATGAGTACTGACCAGTTGTTCTGAAGATTGATTTCCTTGTGGTCATCCACCCCTCTTTGGCTCTTAAAATCTTTCTGCCTCCTCTTCCACAACGGTCCCTGAGCCTTGGGAGGCAGAAGTTTCAAGTAAGTCTTCTATTCAGAGAAAAGCCTCTGCAGCCTCTTGTTCTCTACACATTGGCCAATTGTGGTTTTCTTTGTTAATCACCTGCTGCATAAGGAAACTTCTCTGGTGAGAGTTGAGAGATGCATTCGTCCTGCGTGTCGAGGTTGCACTGAAGATGTGTCACTTAGGATTAAGCATCTCATAGACATTTTCTGTATTTGACTAGTTCTGGAACTCTGTAAGTCTCTAAATGTTGCAAAAAGAAGCTTTCTTTGATGAGGGGTAAAAGGTACACTTGTCTGTATATATGAGGATGCATATTTAGAATAAAGTAATTTTTAAAGTCTGATTCTGAAAGAATAATAGTCCTTTGCATTTTCTCCTTTCTCTGTCTCCCTTCCCACTTCTCTACTCCCCCCTCCCCTTGTCTTTCAAATTAGGTGTGTAGAAGAAAAAACATCACCACATTCGAAGTTCCAAGAAAGACAGTTCTGGGCAGCTCTAAAGGTAAGCAGAAAACTGATAATAAATATATTGAATATGTATGTATATATTTTAATATTTGCAGCCATGCAATATGTGTCAAACTATTCCACTCTGCCACTATAGTCCGGAAACAGTAATAGTTGATAGAGATGACATGTAAATAAATAAACATGCTTGTATTTCAATTAAGTGTGGCTTATCAACACAGAAATTTGAATGTCATATAATTTTCATGTTAAAAATATTATGATTTGGAGGCTGGAGAGATGGCTCAGCAGTTAAGAGCACACATTCGTCTGGCAGAGGACCCAAGTTCAGTTCCCAGCACTCATGTTGGGTAGCTTACAGTTGCCTATAACTCCAATTGCAGGGGATCCAATGCCCTCTTTTGGACTCCATGAGCACCCGCACATACATGTGCACATGCTCATACCCTCCCCCATATACACATAACTAAAAAAGTAAGAAAAAAAAAGTTTTTTTAATTCTGATTTGGGGAGCTTTTTTGTTTTGTTTGTGGGTGTTTTTTATTTGTCTTTTTGTTTGAGACAGGGCCTTACTTGTGTAACTCTGGTTGGCCTAGAACTGGTCATGTAGACCAGACTGCCTTGAACTTAGAGATCTGCCTTCCAAGTTCTGGGATTAAAGACATGTGCCACCATGCCTGGTCTTATTTTATTGAATACTATTATATCCCTTAACTCTCTTCCTTGTACAACAGTGTGATGCACACAGAAGGCTATAACTGGTTAAGGTTTAGAGAGTAAGAGACTGCAGAGTGAGTGTCTCTGGATAGGACTTCTGTATTAAACCTCACACACCCACAGCTGAGGGACCATTGCACAAGAGGGGACAGAAAGATTGTAAGAGCCAGAGTTGGTGCATGAACATAAGGAAACAGACTTTTAGGCCACTGTTCATATGAACCTGCAGCAATGCTGACAGCATGCACAAGACCCATGCTAACGCAGACAAAAACCCAGCATGGAGCAGGGGAAATGGGCAGCAGGCCCCAACCCTAGCCAAGGAACTGTTAACAAATGATTACTGTGGGGTGAGGGAGAGTAAATCTTTAAGGGAGTGACTCTAGATAGACTGACTAGATCCCAGTGGATGAACTTGCATCAAGGGACACCTGGATAGAAATGCTATCTGGATTGAACTTAACATATGTGATACCTGAAATCTGGTGGGCGGGGGAGTCTAAATTTGATTAGGATGTTTTATGTGAAATGCACAAAAACTCAGTTAAAATACTGAAAATAAAAAAAAATTTAAAATAGCATTTAAAATATTTTTATTTGTATGAGTTTATTGCCTGCATGTATGTAAGTGCACCTGTGTTGTGCAATGCCCGTGGAGGTTGGAACAGATTGCACTGGAACTGCTATGCATGTAGGTGCTGGAAATTGAACTCAGATGTTCTGCAAGAGCAATCAGTTCTCTTAACCACTGAGCCAGTTGGCTCAAAAAATAGCATTTAAACTGTAAAATCAGTTTTTGTCTCCTGGGTTCTACCAAAGAGGCAGCAAGTTAAATTTAATCCCCAGGCCATAATTGGCCTCCCCTTGGTCTAAAGTTAAAACCATTGCTGAGTCAGTAGAGGTAGAGATGATAAAAGATGTTTAAGGCCAGGGCACATGGTGGTGGCACATGCCTGTAATCCCAGCACTTGGAAAGCAGAGGCAGGTGGATCTTTGAGATCCAGGCCAGCCTGGTCTAGATAGTGGGAAAAAAATGTTTAAGGTGAAAGGATCAAAAGGATTCCCCAAGTGATTAATTCCATGAACTGACCATAAGACTCAAAGGAACTCAGGATGAAGGTGAGTGTTAAATGCCATTAAAAAAAAATGACTGAAGATGTTCATTGGATTTAAGAATTGGGAGATAGATGACCTCAGTAAGCAATAATGGATGTATCTCATGGCTGAGCCAAGGAAAAAGCTTCCAGGACAGGCAGTGACACCATTGACCTGCCACGTGTTACATGTTAGCAACCCACATGTCTTACAGCGCTCACAATACTGGGAGAAGGTGGAAACAGCACAGAATTCACAGAAACATCTGGATTTAGCTCCTCTAAATACAAGCAGTATTTATTTTGTAGAATTTGTGTGCTCTCCGCAGACTTTTGAGTTCTTGATTTACATACTACAGCAGCAAAGTTCTCAGCATTGTCTGACTTCTCAAGGTCACACTTTGATAGAGCTTTATGAATCCTGGCGACCTGCAGTACTATACTTGGTGGCCCCAGGCCATGAGAGAGGAAATAGGATGAGATATTGATCTGGAGAGGGTCTAGTAGAGTTTTTGTGGGCATATTTGGGGTTGATTATCTTAGAAAATGGAAATAGGATATGTAGACACGTGGAGGTGAGATCTGGTATTTGTTCAGAGACGCTTTCTATTTCAGAGTGACAGATCCAACTAGTAGACACTGGGGAGTTGGACCAGTTCTTTGTTAGTAGTCACGTGTTTTGTCAACTTCACACAAACTAGAGACCCCTGGGAAGAAGGAACCATCAGCTGAGGAATTTTATCAGACTGGCCTGTGAACATACCTGTGGGCATTTTCTTGATTACTAATTGACGTAGGAGGGTCTACTCCACTGTGGGTCGTGCCATCCCTAAGTAGGTGGGCCTGGGCTGTATAAGAAAGGTAGCTGAGCAATCCAGTAAGCAACATTCCTCCCTGGTCTTCAGTTCCTGTCTTGAGGTCCTGCCTTGGTTTCCCCAATGATGAATTGTAACTTCTAAGCCAAATAAACCCTTTCCTCTCAAAATTAGTTTTGGCCAGTGTTTTACCACAGCTACAAAAAGCAAATTAGAGCAGGACATTACAGTTTCTTAGGAGCTGTAATCACTTCATACTTTTCTTTTAGCTCTTCCATAATACTCTTCTTTGGAATGGACTCCTTCCTGATGACACTTTGCAAGATCTGGGACTGGGGAAGCTGCTAAATCGCTATCTTATTATTGCTCTTACTAATGCCATCCCTGGACCAGATGCTATTCAAAAGTGCCACCAGGTAAGTTGTATAGGAACCAATTTTAATTTTATTATTTAAAATAAATTAGCTAGGGGCCAGAGAGATGGCTCGGCAGTTAAGAGCACTGACTGCTCTTGCAGAGGACCTGGGTTCGTTTCCCAGCACCCACATGGCGGCTAGTAACCGTCCATAACTCCGGTTCCAGGAGGATCCGACACCCTCTTCTGACCTCCACAGCACTGCACGACATGGGTGTACTCACATACATCCAGGCAATACACTCATACACATAAAATAATAAAATATTTAAAAAAAAATAAAACAGCTAATGCTCAGTGTGATAACCTACATCTCTAATTCCAGCACTAGAGAAGCTAGGCAGGAGAACTGCTGCAAGCTCCAGGCCAGCCTGGGCTACAAGGTGAGATTCTGCCTCAAAACAACAAAAAGGTTTAGCTACTAGGGCTGGAAAGATGGTTCAGTGTTTAAAAGTGCGTATTGGTTGCAGAGGAACTTGAGTTCAGTTCACAGCACCCTCATCAGGTGGCTCACAATCACCTGTAACTTCCAACTCCATGGGATCCAGTGCCTCTCTTCTAACCTCAGTGGATATCTGCACACGTATGCACATACCACACACATGCATATACATAATTAGAAATAAAAATCTTAAACTCTTAGCTATTAAAGTCTACTGTGTTGCAGAAAAATAATTAGAATTATGGTGATATGAATATACACATCAATTTAACAAAGCAGAAGCTATCTTTTTGTATTTAAAAATCAGTATTCTGATTTGAAACATTAGCAGTGGGGAAAAGTACTTAGTAAATGATGCCAGGAGCCAGGTGTAGTAGCATTTGCCTATAGTCTCAGTACTTGTGAGGCTGAAACAGGATGATTACGAATTCAAGACTAGCCTGGATTACACGGTAAGTAAGACCTTGTACTTGGAAAAAAAGAGGAGAAAGTCATTACTAAATGGCAGAAGAAATGAGAAACAGCATTACCTTTATCAAAATGATTTGACAAAATATAAAACGTCACTGAATAAAAAATCTTAAACCAAAAGATGTAGAGATTAACTGATCTTACCAGATGTGGGGAATGTGTCCATTGGGCTAACTGTTATCTCTTCATGATTGAAGTTTTGTATACTAAAAAGTTAGAGAAACTGGTTAGAAATTAAGAAATAAGTCCTAACACATAAGATTAAGATTTATATCAAAAAACAAATCTTTACAAACTAGTAAACCAAATGTTCATATTGAAAAGGGCTCCAAAATATGCAAATTAAATCACCACAAAAGCATATGTAAAGCAACCTACACATATGTGGGAAAGATTGGCAATATGAATAGGCAGAGACATGCAAATTCGTTCAACAAGATACTTGTGCTGATGTTATCCTAACCTGGCATCTCCAGACCTGGTGTAGCCGGGGACACTGCAGTCCCAGGACTGCAGAGGTTTTGTTCTTGGTGTGCAAGACAGTGGTTCTAGAGTGGTGGTCTGTGGTAGTACCAGTGGTCTGGTACTAGCCAATGGCTTTTGAGGATATTTCATTGTGATAGGTTCAAAACCTTTAAAGTTTGTAACCTTTGACTTCTGAGAATTTATCCTATGACAAAACTCAGAGTTGCACATACAGATTTTAAACACAAAGAATATTCGAGGGCTGGAGAGATGGTCAGTGGTTAAAAGCCCTGGCTGCTCTTGCAGAGGACCCGGGTTAGGTTCCCAGCACCTACATGGTGGCTAACAACTGTCTGTTAGGTTCCAGGGGGTCCAATACACTCTTCTGACCTCTGTGGGCATTGCACCATACAAGTGCACATATGCACATGCAGACAATACACTCATACACATAAAAATAATAAAATAATAAAAAATATTCTAGCATTATTTAATAGGAGATAGCCAAAAACTACCTAAATGTCCCCAAAATATCTTGATCTAACCATAACATCAAAGTCATGGTAGTGAATAGTTTTTTAGGAAACCTGGCATGGTGGTACACCTGTAATCCCATCACTGTCACAGTTTTCAAAGTAGAGAAGAGGAAGTGTGTTTTCACAACTCCATAGCATAGGTTTGAAAAGCAGGCCAACAAAATGTGACTTAAAGTCTTGGCCTCACATGAGCAAGCTTCCTGCTTACGTGCAAACTTCATGGACACTTGTAGTAACAAAACAGGAGCAAAGCAAAGACAAACGACAGTAAGCTTCAAGCCTTTGAAGACTGGTTTAAAACTGGGAAAGTTTGTTAAATGAACCTTATAGGACCTTCTGCATGTCTTGTGGGGATTATTTTGGTGGGGGGAGGTTCTCAATAATTTATAAAAGTATAATAAATCTTTTCCCCCAACCTTCATTTATTTTGTTTTGCTTCTTGTGGCACTACTGTTGACAGTCAGACCCAGGACCTTCCGTATTTTAAGCCCCAGCTCTACCAGTTACGCTCTCAGTAACGTCCCACTCCTGTTTGTGTTTTTCAAGTCAGGATCTGTCCATTTTGTCTCGGGTGGCTGGCCTTGAACTCAGAATCCAGTGCCTACCATCATACCTACGTCAAACCCTCTCCTGCCATTTTTTAAAACTGCTTTTAAGGATGACAATCAGATTTACTTCATAAAATGCTTTCTAGGACTCTATTGACCTGTTTTATAATATTGATACATGTTTGATGCATTTTAATTTTTCTCTGAATTTTCTTTGTGCAAATACTGTTCTGTCACCTATAGCATAACCTGGTGTCCAGGATTTCCTTTTTCCTCCCTTTTGCTCTAAGGAAGTTGTTTGTTTGCAACATTTTTCTGACTTTACCAGTTTTCTCCAAAATCACATATAACTTTTGGAGGGGGAGAATGTTCTTGTTTTGACTTTCCGAAAGAACAGTTGAGCGCTGGAGAGATGGCTGGGTGGTTAAGAGCACTGGCTGCTTTTGCAGAAGACCCAAGTTCAAATCTCAGTACCCCCGTGGTAGCTAACAACTGTAACTCCATTTCCAAGGTATCTGACACCCTCTTCTGTTCCCCGTGGGCATTGCATGACATGGGTACACTTACATACATACGTGCACTCATACACATAAAAATGAATTCAAAAATAGAGTAGTTGAGTGTGCTATATTGACTAGAAAGCAATGTAAACTGTTAGATCAAAACCATAATAAATTTTCTACATTCAGTATATTTAGACATCCAGTTGATACTTTGTCTCTAATATTTATGTAGATTGTAGAATCACAAGTACTGCGTAATGAGTATTCCGTCCTCAGCTTTTAGCAATGAAGAATGATTTTTTTTTTCCTTTTTAATGCTACCTTGTCTGTGACAAAGGAAAGGGGAATTTTTCAAAATTTTTTGTTGTCGTAAACCTGAGATATGTTTTGATCAACAGGTAGCAGCTTACCTACCAGAAAAATGGTTTGGAAATTCTGCTATGAGGACATCAATTCCCCAGCTAGAAAACTTCATTCAGTTTTTGTTGCAGTCTGCACGTGAATTATCGACAAGTGAATGCAGGTAATCCTTATTTTATTTTCACTTCCATAGCACAGTGTAAGAATTTTGTATGCTGTCAGTAATTTTGGAAAGATTTGCACTTTTACTATAATTTTTAAAAATCCCTGGGGTTAGGGTTGTGTAGCTCAGTTTTTGTAGCGTGCTTGGCTAGTATGCACAAGGCCGCCCCAGGTTCAACCCAAGTACCACATAAACCAAGCGTAGTGGCAGAAGGCTATAATATAATTCCATCAGTCTTGAAGACCCAAAGTTCAAGATTATCCTTAGCTATCTAGTGAGTTCAAGGCAAGCCTAGGATACATAAGGCCTTGTCTTTAAAAAAAAAAAAAAATCTGCCATACTGGAGAATTAGTGTTTGTTTCAGTGGTTACCCTCGAAATGGCTCTCTATATTTACATCTCATGCATATGTTTTTTTTTTATATGAATCTCTTCCAAAATAAGGGCTTCCAAAAAACTATACAGGAGCATTTAGGTTCAGATAGGGGAAGGGGTCTAAATATCAAAATATGTTGTATGAAATTCAGGAAAATTCAATGAAAATTCTTAAAATGTTTAGTATGAGGTTTTTGACTTACAGGTTTCTATTTTTTTAAGTATTTCATTTATTATTTTTATATGTATGAGTGTTATGCCTACATGTAGGTAAGTGCACCCGTGTCGTGCAATGCCTGCAGAGGATGGAATAGGCTGTCAGTCCCCTGGAACTGGAGTTACAGACAGTTGTTAGCTACCATGTGGGTGCTGAGATTCGAACCTGGGTCTTCTGCAAGAACAGTCAGCATTCTTAACCCCTGAGCCATCTCTCCAGCCCCTCTATTCTTTCTTTAGAATATTTTCCTTTTGTTCATTTGAGGCAAGGTCTCAAGTGTCTGAAGTTGTTCTTGAATTCACTATGTAGCCAAAGCTGTCCTTGAACTCCTGATCTTCTTGCCTCCACCTCCTGAATGCTAGCATTGCTGGAATAACACTACCACACCCAGGTCTGATATGCAGTTTGCTCCAGCATCAGCTCAACTTGTAACTGTCATCAGTATGCAAAGGGAGTTGTCTAGCCTTCCTTAACTGAAATGCCACTGCTTTTGGGAGGGGGCGGAGCATCAGCTCTGAATTTTACAGTTTTTGATACTGGCTTAAGGTCAAGCTTTTGCTTAGGGTACTGAGGGCTAGGTACTGAGGGGTAGGTCCACAGTCAATTCCTGAACCTTCCTTCACACTTGCATAGTACTTTATCTTCTCCCTCCCTTACTCCCTCCCCTTCCTTCCTTCTTCCCTTTCTTCCTTCCTTGCATCTTTTTATTTTTTTCTTTTGTGATGAAAACTAGGGCCCACTGTGTGCTTAATAAAAATTTGATCACCGAATACTGAAATACTCTATCTTTAAGGGAGTAGATAAATGCTTTTTGGTTTTGTTTTTCAGGAATGAAATCACTGAAATAATTCTTATCCTGGTGAAGATAAGAGCTTTGAATCAAGCCAAATCTTTCATAGAGGAGCATCACCTGGAGCATCTAAAGCCATTAATGCAGACTTTTGAACAAACACTATAGAGAGTACTTAAAGAGAGTTTATGTATTCGTATATAACGCTCAGTACCTTGCTTCTATACAGCTGGTATAGAAGCCTCTTCATTCCCTCTAATAGAGGAGAGGCTTTGCAGAAGAGCAGAGCTCTTGTCCTCCCTTCCTCTGTGCACCATTTTTTGCCATCATGAAAGACTGTCCTGAGTGCTGTGGTGTCAGAAGGGTTACATGCACCACAGCAGTGTGTTTCTCTGACTTTTCAGCTGCTTTTCCAATCTGAGATGCTGGAGAAGTTTGACACAGCTGCTTTGGCACAGGGAAGCATGCTAAAGTGTTACATCTGGAGCTACAAAACAGCTTCAGGTTCGGCTTTCTTTAAACTTAGTGTTTATGTTAATAAGGAAATCTTAATTAGAATTATTTACAGTTAAGGCATTTTATAACATTGTTTTTCAGAACTGATTTATTGGACCCACACAATATAATAATGCCAGTGAATTGCTACAGTGTAGATTATCATTTAATACATTGCAGATTTGGTAAATGAAAAGTTGTGATTATTTTGTTTACTGAAGGTATGTTGGATTGGGTCATTTGTAATTTTTTGAACTTTCCACTCATCTTTTTCTGAAGGTTTATAAGACTTTCATATTTAAAAATTCAGACTTTTTATCTTTCCTCTGTGGTAGGTAGTTTTTAAAGAAAACATTTTTAATTTT